GGTTAATTTTGGCCAGAGTGAATGATGATGTCCTCGTTAGGTCATCAAGCATTTTTGAGTGACTGGAATGTGCCAGATGCTGGAGCAGGCTCAGGGATGCAGGGGCCATTAAGCTGTTGACCTTCCATGGAAGGGCTCATGATCTTCTGGGCTAGTGGGACAAGATCAGTGCCTAAACAGAGAATCAAAGCCATATAGAAAAAAGCTAGAGGTGCTTGAAAGAGGGACTACGTAATTCAGCGTGACTCAGGCCTGGGGAGCAAAGCAGAGCATGTGGCGGTGCGCTTTCTCTGGAGACGAACATCGTAAAAGGTGAGAGGATTAGGGCAGGTGAAGAAAGCAGACAAGACAATGGGGGCAGAGCAGGGCATCCAAGTCTGAAGGCGAGTCAAAGTCTACATTTGAGGGAGATTGTGCACAGGCCTTTGGCAAGGAGATAAGGGAGGCTACTGGCTGGAAAGGTGGTTTGGACGCAGGCCGTCCTGAGAGGATTTGGTTAATTCATAGGCAGTGTGAAGCCACGGGGCTTACGCGGCTGGAAAGTGTGATCAGATCCAGGGTGCAGAGAGTCTAGTTGCCCTGGCTGAATCATTCCTCCCGTATATTTGTTTCATGTCCGTTTCCTCCTTTCACCTGCATATATGTCATTATAAATCTTTGTTTCACTTGTTTCTGGACACTCCTAACTTGTGGTTATTTTGATAGCTTATCTCCTTAATCCAGCCCCCAGGGAGCCTAGCCCAGAACTGCGGGCACTTAGCTCACTCAAAATTGTCCTTGATAAAGCTCTCTATTCCAGGCCAACGTAATTACACCCATTTTGCTTTCCCTTCCTATTCCCCTTAAATTACATTTGCATTTTAAAAGCTCAAATATAACTGCTTTAGAGACTGCTCGGTCCAAGCAGCAAATGTTTGGTGTTGATTTAGACTCAGCTTCATTAAAAATCTTCCTGGGGCCGGCCCGTTGGTGCAGCAGTTAAGTTCGCACGTTCTGCTTCTCAGCAGCCTGGGGTTCGCCGCTTCGGATCCCGGGTGCGGACATGGCACCGCTTGGCACGCCATGCTGTGGTAGGCGTTCCACGTACAAAGTAGAGGAAGATGGGCACGCATGTTAGCTCAGGGCCAGGCTTCCTCAGCAAAAAGAGGAGGACTGGCAGTAGTTAGCTCAGGGCTAATCTTCCTCAAAAAAAAAAAAAAATTCCTTACATGGTCCTGAAAAGTGTCATATTCTTATTAATACTGATTGTAATACTTGAGAGCTTGAATTCCCTAAGAAATTTCTTTGTTTTGCTTCTGATGGAAAATTAGGAAGAAAATCAGTTCCTTTCCCCCCTATTAGTACCCACTTCAGATAAGAGCACCCACTCTGTTCCTAACACCAGCGAATTTCTCAAAGCAGAAATACAGGGTGTTCCATAGCGCCACAGCACACAAACACCCTGAATCATTTTGTTCCTAAGAATGAGCAGTTTTCAGATAAAACTCATGGCCCAAGCCACCCTAAGTCTTTCACAAAATTCCAAGGTTTAAGTATATTTTTTGTAGACAACACATAAAAACATACATCGGCTAAACATAAATACAGGCCAACCCAAAACCCAGTGAGTCAAGCACAAAGAGGCCACATCTTCACTTAGTTGATTCCCGGACCATGGTTTAGGCAGCAAAATTTCCTTTGCCTTAAACTTATGAGCAAAAGTGAATCTTTGAGCTCTTGGTGTGAATTCCTGTGGCTAAATGTAGTCAGAAGGAGCTGGTTGTAGTACGCAGATGTGTCTTGTTGCTAGGGAGCTAACAGGTAAACCAGACTCTGGATTTCTTGTCAATTATTATCTGACTGCCTGGTCAGGTCATGTTGTTGTTGGTCTGACCAGGACACTCATGACTTTGTCCTCTTCGGCCAGCATTCTCCTTGATCGCAAGGTCTTTTGAATTTCCTGAGACAGCTCCACCCAAATGGGCCCCCATGGTCGTTGACTCCCCCACTATTGGGGCCAGAATTCTTCTGCCACCCTGTGCTTCTGGTGTGACGGTGATAGGAGCATTACCACATCTCTGGTAGCAGAGATTCTCCTCTGGGTGCCTGCCAGGAGGTCCCTTACTTGGTAGAATGGGAAAGGGAAGGGAGAAGATAAAAGACAAGTAGGTAATCTTAGCGTAGTCTGAGCAAATGAACTTTTTGTCCTGAATCTTGACCCTTTAACAAAGGGAGGAAATTGCAGGATTAGCATAAGGAGTAATTCTTGCATTAACTCAACTGTATTTGTTGAATTGAATTTCTCCCTTTGATACCACTTGGAGTTGGGTTTCCAGTTGGCTCAGTAGATGTTCCTGAGAAGTTATACGTACATTGAAACACCGGTTGAATTTTTTTCTGTGTTCCATAAAAAACATCTAATTTTTCCCTCTATCTGACTTGCTTAAAGCCGTATCTGTTTGCTATCCCTGTTTTATTTGGAAACATTTATTTATAAGGAATTAATAAGCTATACTTGTCCTTAGAGAAAACCCGGCAGATAATTGCTCTATATGAAAGCGGACTATATTCCAAGTGAAAACCACTTTTAATATAATAACATGATAACATAGATATTTTTGATACCTTATTTCAGAATATTGATTTTAATTTATTAGTTTTATATAATAGTATAATAATGAATATAAAGCTTCAACTAGTTAAGTAAATTAAAATGAGGGGAGAATGAAGAATGCTCTATGATTGCATAGCGTTTCAAAGATTTTGAGTGAGCTAGAAGATTGTCTCAGTAAAAAAATTACAGAAGTCATAGAAATATTAATTAAACCCCCAATGAAGTTACTCATGAGATTATAAAATATAAATTAGTTAGATTTACATGTTGGAAACCTTGAGAATATTCCCTTTAAATTATAAACTTCTTAACCAAGAGGAAAAACAAAGAGTTACTCATGAAAAGTTAGAAATTAAAGTAAACAAAAGACCTGAAAAGAAGAAAATGTTTTGTGAGGATTTGCAAAACAAGATTAAGAAATGATTATTCTTTCTTTTTAACTTTTACCTCTCTGGTGCCTTACATTTACACGGCTTTCAGAGGTCGCTATCATTCTTTTGACATCTGGGTCGCTTTGTATTATTGGAATCTGTGTTTTCTCTTAATTTCAATGTCAGAAGATGTCACAGATCCCAGTAAGAGTCCACATCAAAAGACTGGGCATGAATAAACAGCCAAAGTAATAGCTTGGTGTCAACACATTTACTCCTAGGAATTTTCTCGAGTCCATATGTTGTCAAAATCGTTACTTCATTATTAATAGAATTGGAAAATTAGGTTGCCAGTGATGGGCTGTTGAAAAAAAAAGCTAAAAAGATGGTGGAATGGAGAACATTGTGAGCCCTCTCACAAACCTCGACATTATTAAAATAATTGGAAACACACTGTGTTCTCCAGTTACAATGGAATCAAACTAGAAATTAATAGCAAAAGGCAACAAGAAAATCTGTAAATATATGGAAACTAAATAATGTATTCCTCGATAATCCATGGGTCAAAGAGGAAGCCTTTGGAAGGGAGATCAAAATATATATTAAACTGAGAGAAAGTGAAAAAACAAAGATGGTGGAGATCCTATCTTCTGCGGTAGCCAGAGAGCCTCCGCTTTTACTGGAAAATCTGATGTGCTCTCACAAATAACTCTCCTCTTCCTGGTTTGGGGGCTTTGTGGCTCTGACCAGCCTGAACAGACTGCTCACCTTTAAGATAGGAAAATCTCAGCTTTTCTCCAAGTCCATCTTGCCCTTGTCTATGCTACCCTACAACCATGCTTCGTATTTGAATAATTCAAGTCCACCAGTATACTGTTATAGTCCAAATTGTTAGGAAAGGTGCACATTTTAACACTTTAACCTGCATTTTTATTATTTCCGAAGATAAAATAGTAGGCTTTCTATGGCATTTTTGTGACAGAAAACAAGAGAGCACCATCTGGAGCTGGAGGTCGGAGGAAGAGAAGAGGAGCTGGGTGGAGAGAGCAGAGATGGGGCTGCGGAGCTGTTTCTGTCAGCCTGGGACACCGAGTCTTCTCCAGCTCAGAATTACCAGGGAATTAAGGGAGAGAGGGAAAGACCTGGAAAAAGCAGACGGTCCGTTGAGCATCTTGGCCTGGCCTTGGCTCTTTGCTGGTGACTCTGCTGTAGCTCCCTGATGAACCAGAGGGGACTTCTCCAGACCCCACACTCCTTCATCTCTTATCTTCTTGAGCAACTTCCCCTTCCTGCACCACAGCAGTTCAGTGCAGTGCATGAAGGGCTAGCCGTTGTCATTGCTCTGAGAAAGAGGTCCTGGGACAAGAGTTGCACCAATTAAGCTTTTGTTTTGTAGGTGCTTGGGCTCCTGCCCTGGATTTGGCTTGGCAAGGTTTAAGGCATGACGTAACCTGTCTGTGGGTCTTCTCGCTCCTGAATGCCGGTGGCTTTTACAACCACGTTGTCTGAGTGTGTGTGGCCCCAGATCTAGTAGAGTAACAACTAACACTGATACGGAACTTGCTATGTGCCAGGTGCTGTTTTAAGTGCCTTGTGTATGTTAACTGGTTCAATCTGTGAGGTAAGTACTCCTGTTACCTCTGTCTTACAGAGTAGAAAGTGGAGGCACTGAGGCGGCAAGCTTTCTGTAAGAGCAAGATAGTAAATATTTTAGGCTTTGTGGGCCATAACAGTCTCTGCTGCAACGACTTTCTTCTGCTGTAGTGTAAAAGTAGCCAAGGACAATGCTTAAATGAATGAACATGGCTGTGTTCCAATAAAACTTTGTTTATGAAAACAGGCTGTGGGGGGCTGGCTGGGTGGTGTAGTGGTTGAGTTCATGCATTCTGCTTCAGCAGCCTGGGGTTCGCTGGTTTGGATCCTGGATGTGGACCTAGCTAGCACTGCTTGTCAAGCCATGGTGGTGTCCTACATAAAATAGAGGAAGATTGGCAACAGATGTTAGCACAGGGCCAGTCTTCCTCAAATAACAAAACAAAACAGAATAAAACAAAAAACCCCCCCAAAACAGGCAGTGGGCTGGATTTGGCCCATGGGCCTTAATTTGCAGACCCCAGCCCTTAGCCATTAACTAGTACCACCTCTCATGTATGTGAAACCTCTCATTTATATTTCCTCAGACCCACCTCAGTTCCCATGACATTCCATTCAAATGACAGCTAGCATTACATAAAAGTTCAGTTGACAACACATCTGCTCTTTACAGTACTTTTTGGAAGCATGTTTTATCAATGTCTCCACTTTATGGAAGAGCATAATGAGGCTTCAGAGACAGTCTTATGTTACAAAGTTCTTTGGCACCTGTAAACTTGAAATCTAACCGAATAAATACCAACTTCCCTGTGCTGCCCTTCCATCCTGATGCTGATGTTTGCTTTTTTTCCTTCTAAAACGTCTTATCTTTCCTGTCTCATGTTCTATGCTGGGTTTTCCTGTTGGAGGAGCAAACGAGAGGCAGCCTGATCTCCCCTTCCGGACCTTCTAGAATCTTCTTTTCTGACCTTCCAGAATCTTCTTGAAAAATGTTTTTAGACCATGCCAGATCTCTGGAAGCTGTTGGGACGGGCACAGCCTGAGTTTGTCTTCTGAGACTGCTTAATGATTCTCACTCTAAGAAGTAGGTGGGATCTGTTACATGGAGCATCTGTGCACCAAAGCAGGGCCTAAGAAATGGGAGCGACAACATCAGGAACTAAGAGCTTATTCCATGCTGGGTGCTGTGCTAAGTATTTTTTATATATTATCCTATTTAATTCTCAGAACCGCTCTGGAGGTAGGCAAGTCTCGTTATCCTTATTGTAAAGATGAGGAAACAGAAGCACAGAGAGCCAAAGAACTTAGGCCGTAAGGATTGAGTGTCTGTGTCCCTGACCTTTTAAAGGAGAGCTTAATTAGATGTTCATAGTGTCAGTCCTGGGCAAGAATATAGAAGTTTCCAGTAAAAGTAAACTCTCCTTACTCTTCTGCCTTGTTGGAGGCGCACGAATATGGGAGTAGAGAAAAAAGAAGAATTGCAGGGGAGGAAATAGCTCTCAGCACCCTCCTGGACTGCAGCTCTCTAGTCCTCCCACTGCTTATCTGGTGACTTGACATAAACCCTTAGCATTCCCAATAAGGTAACTACCATGTGGTATGAGACATTATCTCACTACCCCACCGCAATGTTTTCCACAGTAATTGTGTAAGAGCACAATAATATTACTTCACCGTCAAAAATTCTGAGTGAGAAATGGTCAGAACACTTGTTATCAAGGGCTAGAGAAATATCAACCAGGTAGAGCTCAGAGGAGCTCACTTGCAGCTCATTTTGGTCCAGGGAGCAAACGTTCGGTAGGCACGGCAGTCGCGTCGCTGCTGCTGTCCTGTGCGCCCAGATCCCACCGACAGAATTAAATCCAGGATGGTCTTTGCCCACCTGTCACTCAGCTCTGGAGGGCCAAAACAACCTTCACGTCTATTGACTCCACCATGATGGGCAGTTGTGTTTTCCAGCTTAAAATATAACGGTATTCTCTGTGTTTCTATCAGAATGTGAAAAAGACCGACTGGTTCCAGGAATGGCCAGATTCCTACGAGAAGCACATCTACAGCTCAGAGGACAGGAACGCGCAGCGGCACCTGAGCAGCTGGGCCATGCGCAACACGAACAACCACAACTCACGCATCCTCAAGAAGTCCTGCCTGGGCGTGGTGGTGTGCAGCCGCAACTGCTCTGTGGAAGAGGGGCGCAAGATCTACCTGAGACCTGCCATCTGTGACAAAGCCCGGCAGAAGCAGCAGAGTGAGTGGGGCTCCCTGGTACTGGAGAGGAAGCTGGCATCCATATAGATGCTCCTACCCCAATGGGCCACTACATTCCAGTACATCCCGAGGGCTCAGCCTTCACACTGCAGTGCTCCTGTGTAGGAACAAGGCTGTTCTTAGGTAGAACATATTAAGGAGAGCCAACCAGCCCCCTTGTCCCCCATGGGGGACTGCCCAGAGGTCCCCCCTGGGTATCTGCCCCACAGATCTGCCATGTCCAGAGCACCCACCATTAAAACTGCTCCCTTGGGGTCCGGCCTGGTGGCTCAGCGGTTAAGTGCGCACGTTCCGCTTCAGCGGCCCGTGTTCGCCGGTTCAGATCCCGGGTGCGGACATGGCACCGCTTGGCAAGCCATGCTGTGGTAGGGGTCCCACATATAAAGTAGAGGAAGATGGGCACGGATGTTAGCTCAGGGCCAGCCTTCCTCAGCAAAAAGAGGAGGATTGGCAGCAGTTAGCTCAGGGCTAATCTTTCCCCCCCCCCAAAAAAAACCCCAAAACTGCTCCTTTGGATTAAGGCACCTGACTCAAGGTGTCTGTTCGAAGGAAACTGTGTCACTTAGGGGACTAGCATTGATTCATCACTGCACCCCCATAAAGTTTAGGAGAAAGTCATTTATCAGATTGCCACCCCCCGTCTTGGGGGATGGGTCCCTGAAGGATCTCAGTGAGTGCTTTGATGGGGGGTGGGAGCAGTGGACTCGGTTTGAGATTATGTTCCATTCCATGCCGTAATCACATGCTGAAATATTTGCTCATTTTGGTTTTTTATCAGATTCATCAGATTGTGAAATAGATGCGTTCAGCATTCCCTGCGCCTTGCCCATTTCAGGCCTCAAGTTACTTCATGTCCTTTCCTTGTAATTTGTCTTCAAGACCTGCTCTCGGGGCGGGATCTGCTATCGGTTACCTACACTTTGTGAAAATTCAGAAGCTGTGTTCTCTCTCCCATGCGGCTTTGTCCCTTGACCCTTAGTTCTAATCGTGAAATGAAATAATTTTTTCCTCTTCTCTGCAAAGATTTTCGAATATCAGTAAAGAAGGAGGATGAAGTTTCAGCTCTGGAGAGCTCTCTCTGACCTGGGGACTCTCCCACTCTGTGGCATCTGCTGGCTCTCCCCACGGGTGACATGCTTCTGGGACATTTGGGTGGCCAGCCTCCTGGGGTCAGGAGTAGTGCCCAGTGGATGGAAGCCCAGAAAATTCTGCCCATGTGTATTCGCTGCCATTCTGATCCTGGCGGCGAGGCTGAAGCCGTCAGCACTGCGCAGGCTCAGGCGTCAGCTGCATGGCTCAGCGGCCGCGGTCCCCTTCCTCTGCTCTTTTGCAGGGAAACGCTGTCCCAACTGCGAAGCTCCTCTGAAGCTGATTCCTTGCCGAGGCCACGGGGGCTTCCCGGTCACCAACTTCTGGAGGCACGACGGACGCTTCATCTTTTTCCAGGTTGGCTTGGAGTTCGAGTTATGAGATAGGGTTTCTCTTTAATTCGAGAAGGATTTGCAGGGTGTGAGGAGGAGTTTCATGCAGGAGGTGCACAGGTGAATGAAAAGCTGCACCACCCCTGAGGCCCAGTCGGGGGAGCAACCATCTGTACCCCACCCCTCGACAGGCATCAGGTGCTGGACCCTTGGAGGGCAGGGCAGCAGCTGCCTCCACCTCGGCCTCTGTAGGGGAGGCGGTGCTCAGTAATCTGATCCTCTGGGGCTGGTTCAGGGCTGCGGCAGGTGGCAGACTTCCACAGCTTCCCAGGCTGAACACCACTCACTTCCACCCAGCTCTGTAGACCCGCACCCCTTACTTGACTCCCCTGAGCCCCAGTTTTCTGTAAAATGTGGATAGGAGGAAGTTCTCATGGGGGCGGAGGTGTGTACAGTGATGGAGAGCAGCATCTGGCAGCAGGCTGCCTGGGTTTGGGTCAGCGGAGCGCTGGTTGACCTGCCCTCTGAAAAAGAAATGCGCTGATTGATAGGGTTTGCCCGTTTCTGTGATGTAACCCGTTCCCACCAGGGCTGATTTCAAGCTCCCAGCCATTTTTAACAACCGGCTCATGAATTTCCTGAAGGTCTACAATTGGCTCTCGGCTCAGCTGGCTCCGGCACACTTGGAATCCTAGCTCCCAGCTTACTAGGGGAGGTTACCTAGGTGGTGGGATCTCTCCATGCCTCAGTTTCCTATTCTGTAAACTGGGGGTGATAATAATGGGCTGGACCTCCCGAGATTGTGTGAAGATGGCGTGAGACGGTGTGTAATAAGCGTTCCTTGTTATCGCTACGAAGGTGACTTTGCCAGGTGGGGGAGAGGAGCCGCGGGGAGAAGCAGCCTCAAGGGCACAGGCAGGTGGGCCAGAAGGCACATAGCGGGCTTTGGAGGAATTGCAAAGGCTGGTCCCGTCTGGTTCTGGTGGTTGGTGGCAGCAACACCCAGTCAGATGGCAGAGCACAGGGTGAAACTGGACACACAGTGACGTACAATCTAGTCATTTATTTCCCTCCTTGTCTCCTTTAAGTCAAAGGGAGAGCATGATCATCCAAGACCAGAAACCAAATTGGAAGCGGAGGCAAGAAGAGCAATGAAGAAGGCGCAGTCAGCATCTTCCTCCGGCTCCCTGAAGCTCAAGGGGGGCCCCGAGACAAAGGTAACCCTCCCCTGTGTGTTGAAAACATGCGGCAATTTGCCACCCCTACGACGGGGGCAGTAGATTTCCCAGGTCCCTTACCTATGGATGAGAGCTAAAAATCTTACAGGCTCATCTACCAGCAAGCATCCACCAAAGAAATGGAATGTGAGGTTTTCCTCTTAATTTCTACCATCTTGGTGGCATACTGTCAACCGTAAATTCCATGGAATTCTAAAATCATCTTCCCGACAATAATTAAAAAGAGGCTTGAGGGGCCAGCCAGGTGGTGCAACAGTTAAGTTCGCATGTTCTGCTTCTTGGCGGCCCGGGGTTCGCTGGTTGGGATCCAAGGTGTGGACATGGCACCGCTTGGCAAGCCATGCTGTGGTAGGCGTCCCACATATAAAGTAGAGGAAGGTGGGCACACATGTTTGCTCAGGGCCAGGCTTCCTCAGCAAAAAGAGGACTGGCAGTAGTTAGCTCAGGGTTAATCTTCCTCAAAAAAAAAAAAAAAGAGGCTTGAATTAGTCCTTAATCTATATTTGGCACTCTGTATTTTGATTCTGTTAGAATCAAAATTAACTGAAATGGTCTCCACAAAATATTAGCCTCGTGCTTTCCCCCCCACCCCAAATTTCTATTCTTCACTAAACAGTTTATTTCCTCAGCACATTCTACCCAGATGAAATAACCAGGAGGTTTCTGAAATGATGGTCATCGGGGGGGCGGGGCTGGAGGCCCCTCCCTGCAGCCACACTGTGGTGTGAAGGCTGCGGCTCTATGATGACTATAGATTTGTGGGTTTCTCGGCTTAATAGTGATAGCACCTTCTACACTTTCCTACAGTTTCATGCTCCACGTTTCTTTTCAGAGAACAGAGATGGAGCTGGTCTCCCTGGAGGCTCTAAATGTAGCTTACATAGGAAAAAAAATGTAATTTGAGTCTGTGGTAGGGAAGTGTGCGCCCCGAGCCCAAATGGCTGGTCCCTCATCTCTTCTCCCAGCCACGGGACAAGTGGAGGGCGTTTCCTCCCTTACTCTCTCTGGTCGAGTCTCTCCTCCTCTATCCTCTTATTGGTCTATAGTCTGCATAAACAACTTAATTCTTAGCCAGATTCTTTTCCTGTGACTCACTGGAGGACAATATACTTCCTTCATTTATAAAAATAAATTGACCACTTCATATTCTAGAGGTCCTATTTATGATCCAACGAAATTCCCGTGAATTCAGAGAAAAGTCTCTTGAGAGAAAAAAGAACAACCCTAATGTCGCAGACTCCAAATAGCACTAAAAGATAGATAAGGAGGGAAATGATAATGTGTGCGTGTGTGTGTGTGGGAGACAGAGAGAGAGAGATCCCCTGACAGTTGTACTGAGCATAAAATAAACCTTTGAAGCCATAGTTTGAGTTTTCTTAAAGAAGCCCGTAGAAGTTCTCACCAAGGCCGTTGGGACATCAGATTTGCGTTTGAGGGTGGAATGTTGTAAACACACTCACGTCTCCTCAGGATAAAGGGAGAGCCCGCCTTCCCTGGGTTGGAGGCTTACAGTGGAAATGGCAGCAGGCTTAGCCTCTTTCAGGTCTTGAGTGGTTGTGGAAAACTGTGCTGTGTGTTTGTGCTTCAAGAATGTGAGGAATGGGGATCCGCCAGAGTGCTGGCTTGTCCAGAGTAACTCGGGGGTACCAGTGGTAGTAGTGTTGATTTGCTTGACTTATTAACGTGAGCTTTTCGCTTTTCTTTCAAGTCTCTTCCAGGGGAAATGCAGACTTGGGGAAATTTACCTTTAACCTGGTCTTTCCAAGAAGGCGTCCAATTGTCGGGCAGTTACAGTGGACATTTAATAGGTAACATGCCCCAGCAGAAGTCACTGAATGATTGCTTATCCCTCTCCAAGGGTTATGGTCTGGGGGGAGCCGCCAATATGGCAGACCCCACTTCCACCTTGGGCCCCGCCAAGCTCTATGAGAAGTGCAAGTTGCCCAGTGGTCGGCTTTGCAGCAGTGGGGAGCTGCTTCAGCCGGTCTCCGGAGTCTTCCCTGACTACAGTGATCTGCAGCCATGGAATAAAAATGCTGCTTTGGGGAGAAATCCTCTTAATGACAGCTATTGTCCCAATTACACTTTTCCTCTGACCAACTGGCCTTACGACTTCTCCCCTTCCCAGAACTCTGCAGAACCCTTTTTCCAACAGATTCCAGTGGAACCACCTGCAGCCAAACCTAGCTGTCACCCATTATGGCCAAATCCAGGGGGTGATCTTTACGAAGAGAAGGTGCATGCAGATTTTAACAGCTACTACCCTTCCACCACAGGCCATCCCCCTCAGGAAGACCCCTTTCTCCTCACCTACACCCCTCATCCTCACCACCAATATTCGCTGCCAGGCAAGAGTAGCAAATGGGATTTTGAGGAAGAAATGAGGTACATGGGTTTGGATCACTGCAACACGGAAATGCTTCTAAACTTCTGTCCTTTAAGATGATCCCAATCTGAACCCTTGTGCACTGTGAGGTCCAGGAAGACAATTTGGTGCAGCCACTGTGGAAAACAATATGGAGGTTCCTCAAAAAATTAAAAGCAAAACTACCATATGATCCTGCAGTCCCACTTCTGGGTATATATTTGAAGGAAATGAAATCACTATCCCGAAGAGGTAGCTGCACCCCCATGTTCCTTGCAGCATTATTTACAATAGGCAAGACATGGAAACATCTAAGTATCCATCACTGGATGAATGGATAAAGAAAATGTGGGGTGTATATATATGTATATGTATATATATACATGTATACACACGATGGAATACTACACAGCCATCAAAAGGGAAATGCTGTCTTTTGCGACCATATGGATGGACCTTGAGGGCATTAGGCTAAGTGAAATACATCAGACAGAGAGAGAGAGGCAAATACTGTATAATCTCACTTATGTGTAGAATATTTAAAAACTCCCAAATTCATAGAAACGAAGATCAGATTTATTGTTGCCAAAGGCAGATGGTAAAGAGTGGAAGAATTGGGTGAAGGTGGTCAAAAGGTACAAACTTCCAGTTTTAAGATAACTAAGTTCTAGAGGTAGAATATAGAGCCTGATGACTATAGTTCACAATATCATATTGTATATTTGAAACTTGCTAAAAGAGTAGATCTTAAAAATTCTCATCACAAGGGAAAAAAATCTGTAACTTTGTGAGGTGATTGATATTAACTAAGCTTATTGTAAAAATTTTGCAGTATATACATGTATTGGATCATTATATTGTACACTTTAAATGTATACAATGTTATAAGTCAATTACATCTCAATAAAATTATATCTCACTAAAACTGGGGGAGAAAGATGACTGAAATCTTTTACAATCATTCAAAAAAGCTGTTTTGGTAAATGACTGGAAGAATTTCCTTAGGAAACAGTTTTCAGAACATAACCACAGATAAATCAGAATCAGTCACAAGCAGAAGGCAAGACGTCTTTCTTCACACCAGTATCTTCCCCTCCCACCCCCCAACTCTAGTCCTCCCATCCTTAGCGAGGAATGGAAATTGGTCCAATGAGAGGGGGAGGGGTCCTCTGCTTTTTTTTTTCCCTCATTGTTTGGGGCTCTCAGCAGGTCAGCTGCATCATCTGTTGGGTTTTCATTGTCCTTGATGCATATTGAACAGAGCAGGGGTGTGAAAAGCCCACCTAACCAGGAACACATCTATACCTCCTCGGAAACTGAGGATGAGGGAAAGGAGAGATGGTAGAAGAGCTGTGGAGGTGCAGAAAGACAGATTCTATCACCGAAGTATGGAATACTTCGTCTAGTACTAAACACGCAGGATAGTGTACAAAATAGGTGTTCTCTAGTTGACTTCTAAGACTTGCTGAGACTAAGAATATGACCTAACCTCATTTCATAAATAAAATGGCCGCATGAAGAGAAATTCCAGTGGTGCCAAACGATCTCCTCTCTTCTTTCCTCCTTCTCCTCACTGTCTTCCCCTTCCCTGAGGGCTTAGATTTCATCCCATTTCCTTTATTCTTTATAGTGCCTAACTCAGAGCCAGCTTCAAAATATGTGCTTCAGAAATGTTTGCGTGGAAAAGTCCTTGTGTAATTAACACGGCCGTAGTCGGGCAGCCATATTTGAATGCCAGTTCCTCTTTTTTGCTGAAGTACTTTACAATAAAGATGAGCCTAAACATGAAATCTGGAAAGAACTGTGCAATAAACAAATATTTTCAAAATAAATGATATTTTTTATTTGAACTGTAACAAATGCACATGATATAAATTTGGCTTCCGCTCCCCTGAAGACAACATTGACTAGTTTCTGTCTATTCTTCCAGAGATAAGAGATAGAGTCTGTAAATATATATATGAGTGGTTTCATATCAGATTCATTTCTAATATGGCTTTTGTCTTTGTAGAACACAATTTAGGCATCAGATCCTTATAAGGAGAAAAGACCACAGCTGCCTCATTTTAAATGGCGCATGATACATTCCATGACTGTTTTATAATTAATTTAAATAGTTCCCTATTGATAGACATTTAGATTGGTTTGAATCTACTAAATTCTTTAGTCTAAATGTGTAGAATTTATATATTCAGTTTAGCAGAGTTATAAAGTAAATGCTTGTAAAAGCACTACTTAGGCCAAGAAATCGAACTTCCTGGCACTTCAGAAGGTCCTGGATTGCAGCGCCCGACGCCTGATCACAAGCTCCTTCCTGCATCCCCAAGGTGATCGCTAGGCTGGCTCTTTATATTTTTACTACCTTTATATGTATTACTAAACAATAGTTTGGTTTTGCTTTTTGGAGGGAACCTAACAAATAGAATTATATGGTATACTGTAAAAAAATTATTAAAGTATAATGTACACACAGAAGAGTGCACAAGTCATAGCCTACAGCTCAATAGATTGTCGCAAGAGCACACCAGTCCAGCTGCCACCTGGTGCACATGCTCTCCTGTCTTGCCTTTTCTCCTCAACATGGTGTCCATAAGAATCATCATATTGTCGCGCATAGCTATAGTTTATTTTCATTGCTGCATCAAGTTTTTTTCTTCTCACCTAAAATGCCTTTCCTCCGTGCTTAAGACGGGTGTCTCCACTTGCTAAAAATTTTGGCTCAAAATTCCAGGCAGGAGCCAGCCCCGCAGCCAAGTAGTGAAGTTCACGTGCTCTGCTTCGGCGGCCCAGGGTTTCACCAGTTCGGATCCTGGGTGCGGACATGGCACCGCTCATCTTAGCCATGCTGAGGCGGCATCCCACATGCCACAACTAGAAGGACCCACAACTAGAAATACACAACTATGTACCGGTGGGCCTTTGGGAGAAAAAGGAAAAATAAAATCTTTAAAAAAAAAAAAAGAAAGGGATTCCAGGCAGTAGTGTCTGATGAAATTCAGCTCCCCTCAGGGGTCTCCAGGATTTTGCATCTCCACCCTGCGCAATTCTTGAGTATAAACAACCAGTTATAGACCTATCACTGTTGGATCCAAAGGTTTGAGTAAAGATGAGAGGTCACTTGTGCAAATGTCTGAATGGACACAAATCTCCCTAACAGCTTCCAAATGAAAGCTAATCAAGCGTGTGTTTCTCTCTTTGCAGAGAAGAGAAATTCCTTCCTTCAGAGTGTAGGCATCATAGTAATTTCACCAGCTGCTTTGTATTCAGGTTGTTTCAAGGATGCCTAACTGTTCCCTGAGAAGAACTAGATCTTCAGTTCAAAAATATTAAAATTGACTACAGACTTGGGTATTGTGACACCCAGGTCTGTGTAACTCACAAAGCCAAGTGCAGGGCCCTGAAAATGCTTGTCCTTACTAAGACGCTGTGGTCAAAATACCCTAACATCTTCACTGACCCCAGTAAGTGGAATTTCAAACTTACATAATTGATGGAATTCACGTGACAGAATCCGAAGCCCCTTTTAGATTAGAGACAGTCTGGCAGCCGCAGCTATCACAAAGGATGGCCTTTAACTTAGGCTCTACAGGAGGCCGAAAAGGCAAGGACAGGCTTGGGCCTGCTTATGCTGTGGGATGAGGCCATGGGCGTGATGGAGAGTCGTAGGCCTGGAAGGTTCCCGCTGCACTGTGAGCGATCAGGAAACAGTGACTGTCTGGGTGGGAGCTTTAGTTTCTATTTGGTCCAAGGCTTTCTGGATATTTCAAACATTTGACATCTGGTAAACTAGGCGCACTGCCTTCCCAAACCTTTCTCACTCCAGAAAACTGTGATCTTGATATTTATCAAAGCAAGAACATGTATATAGTTTAAAAGTCCAGATGGAACCACAAAGCTTATTACAAACACCAGCCATTTTACTCACTCCCTCTCAGTCCCCGGTCGTCTTCCCAACCCTCCACTTTTTAACTCTTTTAGCCGTTTCTTCTTAAGCTTACCTCTATGCCACTAGATCACATGCTTACACATCTGTTTTTCAATTTTATACATCTGCTGTTTTCTGATAACACTTTAGGATTTAGGACACATGTCCCAACCCTTTACCTGCAATTTTCCCAATAAATTTAAAAAATCCGCCTTATTGAAGTACAGCTTATATATAATGAAATTCACTCATTTTAAGTGTACAGTTCTATGAGTTTTGGTCAATGTATATGGTTATCAAACCCCACCAAAATCTAGATGTAAAACATCGCTATCACCATGAGAACTTCTATTATGCCCCTTTGCAGTCAATCCCCTGCTTGAGTTCCAGCCTCTGGCAACTACTATCTGTTTTGTGTCTCTACAGTTTCGCCTTTTCTAAAATGACATACAAATGGAATCATAAAGTCTCCTGTATCTGGTTTCTTTCACTCAGCATAATGCTTTTTGAGATTCATCCTTGTATGTATCAGTAGCTCATTTCTTTTTACCCCAGTGTATGAATGTACCACAGTTTGCTTATCTATACATCAGTTGACGGACATTTGAGTTATCTCCAGTTTTGCCAATGATGAGTAAAGCTGCTATGAACTTTCACACACAGGTTGTTTTGTGGATATGTGGTTTAATTTCTCTGGGCTAAATACCTAGGAGTGAAATTGTTTCATCATTTGTTAAATGCACATTTAACTTTAGGAGAAACTGCCAAACTGTTTTCACAAAATGGCTATAACATTTTGCGTTCTTACCAATCATGTATGAGGGTTCCAGTTGCTTTTTGACCTGGTGTTCAAGGTCTTCCCGATTTTAGCCGTTCTAATGCGTATGTAGTGGTATCTCCTTGTGGTCCTAATTTGCATTTCCCTGATGACCAATGATGTCGAGCATTTTTTGTGTGTTCTTATTTGCTATTTGTCTATCTTCTTCGGTGAAGTGTCTGTTCAGATATTTTGCTCATTTCTTTATTAGAGTGATTTCCTAATAAAAAGTTGTAAGAGTTATACATTCTGGATAAAAGTCTGTAGTCAGATACATGTTTTGCAAATATTGTTTCCCGATTTTTGTGTCCTATCTAATCTGAGGTCACCAAGATTTTCTCCTATGTTTTCTTCTAGAAGTTTTATATTTTCAGCTCTTACATTTAGTTTAGCGCTCCACTTCTAGTTAATTTTTGTCCATGGTATGAAGTATAAGGATTGAGCTTCATCTTATTTTGCATGAAGATATTAAATTGTTTTAGCACCATTTGTTGAATCAAAGTTTTATCATAGTCTTTGGTTAAATGAATATTCAGAATTCCTGCTTTTATGACTATATTTACAGCCAAGCCATTTGGTATACTATAATTACATTTCCTTTCTTAGACAACAGTTCGTTTCTCCTGGAGTTGATAACTGTCCCCTCTTATTGCTTAATTTTCTATATAACCAACAATAGTTTATCCTCAAATACTGTCCAAGCTATAAAACTCTTTTTCTCTATAGTAACTCATATTATTCTTGAAGACAGTCCTCCTAAGACTTCCATGTCTCCTCAAATGTGTTCAGACTGCTGTCTAACCCTGCTGCTCTGCTGTCATCGTGCTGTTTCTCTTCACCATCGTCTCTGGTCCTTCTTCCCTCTCCTCTCTGTGGGTTTCCACATCTTTCTCCTTCTTGGTATATTCCCTAGTTTTGATGGAGCACATGCTTTGCTAGTTCTCTAAGCAAAGATGGATGGGAGATACATTTTCCAAGCCCCTGCATATTTGAAAATGTCTTAATTCTATCCTCATACTTGACAGAGAGGGTAGGGGAGAACAGAAGTTTAGGTTGGAAGTACTTTTCATTCAAAAATTTGAAGTTACTGCTCCATTGTCTTCCAGCCCCCAGCATTACTGTTGAGAAATCTGGATGTCATTTTGACTTCTGATCCTTCGAATGTGGCCTACTTTTTCTTTTT